TTTTTTTTTTTTTTTTTTTTTTTTTTTTTCAAGTAAGAAAACGCCTCTTTGCAGAACCACTATCCAGTGTGGTTTCTTAGAAAAGAAGAGATCAGTTGGCAACCCCCACAGGGTCCGCGAAGTCTGTTGGAATCAGTTCTATATATAGCATCGCTGCCGGCAGCTGAAGCGGTAGGCTTGCCGCCGCTGAGCTGCGAAGTTCCCGATCGGTGGGCTGGGTGACTTGCGCGTGGGTGACTTGCGCGTGGGCTGCCAAGCTGGGGGAAAGGGAAACAACGCATCAGCTGTGCATTGCTGCGTTCGCCGCTGTTCTGTGTTGAAGGTTGAGAGCAGTGAGTAGGAGGAGGAGGAGGAAGAGGAGGAGGAGGAAGAGGCGGAGGAGGAGGCGGCGTTAGGATCGTGTCAGGCCTTGGGAACTGCCGCGGCGAGGCTTGTAGGCGTTTGGATCATCGGCCGGCGGTTGCTCTTCTCTCTTCTCAGCCACTGGGAAATTGTGGGAATCGTGTTGGTAGTGGCGCCTCGTGTTTCTCGGAGACGCCGAGATGGAGTGGTCTGGTCGAAAGGCAATGGCAATGGCGGTCACGTCGACTTTCCGGGTGGGGTTCATTGGGCTTGGAGCAATGGGAAGTGGAATGGCTGCTACGCTGGTGGGCAAAGGATTCAAAGTCTGCGGTTATGATGTAAGTAAGCTTTAGACGTGGTACTGCGTAACGCTCCATAAGCTTTAGACGTGGTACTGCGTAACGCTTCATAAATCTCACATCATGATGCACGCTCTCTCTCTCCAACTCTTCCACCCCGGGCCCCGGGCGTCCCTCCGCCTCTCTCTCTCTCTCTCTCTTTCTCTCTCTCTCTCTCTCTCTCTCTCTCTCTCTCTCTCTCTCTCTCTCTCTCTCTCTCTCTCTCTCGTACACGCCTGCAGTCCACAAGTAAGCCGGCTACTTTTCTATCCTTTCTCTCTCTCGAAGACACGGCTCTCATATCAGTGAGCGACCAAAAGCGAGTGAACGAGCGACTCTGTGTGTGTGTGTGTGTGTGTGTGTGTGTGTGTGTGTGTGTGTGTGTGTGTGTGTGTGCGCGCGTGTGGAGATAGAGATAGAGGTA